TGTAAATCTTAGAAAGAAAATTTAATATGTAGATTAAAACTGAAATTATAAGCTATAAAATGAGTATAATTTTATAATTGTAAAATTTGTGGTTATCGTGTTATAAACTTAAGAAATTGGAGTAAATAATACCAAATTATAAGTATTAAGAATTTTTTACTATTGAAATTAGTAGAATTGAAGAATGCAAAGTACACATGCAAATAAATATATTATCACCAAGTTCAGTGATAAAATTGACTATATAAATATATTTTAGATTGATAATCAATACGAATGTGTTCGGAAATCTATAAAGATTTTTCTTGTTATTTAGGTTAGTGGAATCTGAAGGAAAAATTTTATTTGCGGTAGATTAGATGGTGTGAAAGTGTTTTCTTCTGGATTTACGAGTTGATAAGAAAGAAGGTCTTTTTTTTGAAAAAGAATAAGGTAGAATCCAGGTGTAAACACAAGGTTTCTAGGTCTTACAAATATTGATCGTGCTTGTTAATGATAAGTAAGTATTTTCATGCAGACTCGGTTGCAAACGAGAAGGGAATATTTACTTACCTGAGACACACTTTATACATCAGTGACGTAATAAATTGTACGTGTTTATTTACGTTTGCAAGCAAATACGATGAAAATAAACACATTCTTAGTCAATTAATTCATAAAAATAAAAAAACTAAAATTGTAGTATTAAAATATTCATCAATTACAATTAATTTTATGTTTTCTTAATATTTGAAATATTAATCGAACATTAATTAATAATATTATTAACATTTTTTGGATTTTTTCAAGAAAACTTTTCTTAATTGTTTTTTTTTGTATTTTAAAGGTTATCTCATTATCTTACGCAACTATTGATGCATCAAACGTTTTGTTAAATGTTAACTGGTTACTGATACTTTTTGATTTTTATTTTAGAATGTTTTCTTCACTTTTGTTTTATTGACTTTGTAGAAAACCATTTGTTTAGATTTGTGCATATTATTACGTAATTATCGATATACGTAAAGGTTAAATAATTGGTCTTTTTATATTAGAATATTTTCATTAGTTTTCGTTCGTTTTTTAGGGTTTTTTTTTATTACTTTTTAATAAATATATAATTAATTATCAAACTTTTAGCTATAGTATAAGAAATCTTGCATTGTAAAGCAAGTAAAAGTTGTATAATTTTGTAATGTAATTACGATTTTCCCTGTAGAAAGTAATAACGCTCAGAACTAAAATTTTAATTTTATTAACGAGTCAGGATAGAAAAAGGACGAAGAGTAGAAGGATAAAGAAAAAGTATCTTGCATTTTCGTGAAAAGAGGCTTGCTAATATGTATTCCTGCTCATTATACCTCTTAGTGATGGATTAAAAGCGTTGTCGACGATATCGTTAAACCTCTTACATCCGTTATGCGCGTCTTCAAGAGATGCTCTCTCTCTCTCTACACTTGAACTATATACTCTCCTCCTTGTACACAACTGCTTTTTACATCAATCTTCAAACTCTGCGGTCATCAAACAAACTTTTGTCCTAAATTTACGATCGTAAACGACTAATTTAAAACGTGTTAACTTATTTTTTCAGATGTTAAAGAAAGAAAAAGTATTGTTATAAATGCGATTACCTGAGTTGTCCCGACAGACGAGACGTCGATGCAATTCGAAAATTCCATTCACAGACGAAATCAAGTCACAAAGCACATTCTAGTTTACTTCTCTCTCTTTATTTTCCTTGCTGTTGTTGTATTGTCATTGGTCCTTGCAGCATCGAGA